GAGACGAAGACGAGACGGCGAAGCGGGAACCGACGCTGAAAGCGCTCATTGAAATGGCTCGCTGCAGTACCGCGTCTCTATCATTAATTGAAATTCCGTTACGCAAAACGGTACGCGCTTCCTCGCGCGAGCATCTCGGTCGAGAGTAGCCACCCTAGATTCTAACGTTTTTATCGAGGTAAATTAGCGAGGGTATGCGGTTAATTGGGAACACACTCCGCGTTTCGCTTGACGCGTTGCTCTGTTTTTTTCTTTCTTTCATTTCTTTTACCTGACGGGGTATCGGTTGTGGAAATAATTGGACGCGGCTTATTGTTGCCGCGGCGAAAGGCAACAAGGTTGAAAATAACGGAGAAATTAATGACACGTTTGAATAATGCGGCGATTATTAAAAAATGGGGGGCAATTGCTCTCTTGCAATCTGGAAAAGAAAGGAACGCGAGTTGCTGGTTGAACGTATGCTGTTCAATTGCGGTGGCGCAATTATCATCGAGCGAAATGTGCTAATGCGTGGAGAAAAATAATTGAAAAGAATCGAATTCGGCGTGGAAAGCGGAAAGTCTCGATCTTTGTCCTCGACGCGCTCTCTCCTCTCCTCTCCTCTCTCTCCTCTTTCCTCTGTGCGCGCGACTTTCGGGATCGCTCTTTCGAAGTTCACCGGCAATCCCTGTGATGTCTGCCTGGCCTTGCGAGCCACAAGAGAAAATGGCACTTTTGTGTCCCGGTTACTAATGCGTCTCGTAATAATTTCGTTTTTTTTGCCGACTACCTTTTAAACGTGACTCGTTTCCTCGTCGCAATTTCTGGCCTTTCTGGACGAGAGAGAGAGAGAGAAAGAGAGAGTGGGTAGAGATAGTCGAGAGAAACAAAAGAATAAAAAAATATATATATAGAGAGAGAGAAGAATCCGCGAAGTTTTATCTGTACGGCAGGAGCCTTCTGACAGCGCGGGGCATTTTGGATTATTTGCAGAGACGACATGGATGTACGGACAGAGAGGCCTCGAACGGCTGGCCGGATAGCACCGACCGGACGCGTAACTCCGACCATACATCAAACAGGTGGAGGAAGAAGAAAAGCGATACCGGTCCCGCCGCCGAGGGTGCCGACCCCTATGCCCACCGCCAACAATAATCAACAAAAGTAAGTAAATTATGTTCCTCGATAGCTCGTCCGTTCTTTCCCTCTTTCGATTCGAAAAAATCTATCATCCACCGTGTATCGAAACCGTGTTTCGTATTTTCGCGAGAACGAAGGGTATCGGGGAGATAAGCTGACGCTTCGTCCAAGACTATAAATCTAATCGATGATTCAGTATTCATATTCAGTATCGGTCAGATATCGAAAAAGAATTAATCGAAGAAAATCTAGGATAAACTGACGTTTCGTAAGATTATAAATCTATGAATCTATGAAGTATATCATTTTTGTATCTAGGTGAATATTCGGTATGATATTAGATATTAAAAAAAGAAAAAGAAAATACGAAAAAGAATTAATCGAAGGAAATCTAGGATAAAACGTTTCGCACATAACTCGAAGACTATAAATCTATGAACCTAAGTATGTCATTTTTGTATCTCGATACATCGGTGAATATTCGGTATAATATTATATATTAAAAAAAGAAAAAAAAAAAATGAAAAAGAATTAACCGAAGGAAATCTAGGATAAAACGTTTCGCACGTAACTGGAAGACTATAAATCTATGAATCTAAGTATGTCATTTTTGTATCTCGATACATCGGTGAATATTCGGTATAATATTAGATATTAAAAAAAAAAAAGAAAAAATGAAAAAGAATTAACCGAAGGAAATCTAGGATAAAACGTTTCGCATGTAACTGGAAGACTATAAATCTATGAACCTAAGTATGTCATTTTTGTATCTCGATACATCGGTGAATATTCGGTATAATATTAGATATTAAAAAAAAAAAAGAAAAAATGAAAAAGAATTAACCGAAGGAAATCTAGGATAAAACGTTTCGCATGTAACTGGAAGACTATAAATCTATGAACCTAAGTATGTCATTTTTGTATCTCGATACATCGGTGAATATTCGGTATAATATTAGATATTAAAAAAAGAAAAAGAAAAAACGAAAAAGAATTAATCGAAGGAAATCGAATCAAATGTTCGAATCGTTTTACGAAATTATAATCTTTTTTTTTATCAGAACTGACGTTCCACTTTAGACTTGGTGTAACACGTACACGAAATCTCGATAAGACGATAGATAGATCCGCTGATGCCTGTAATCGCTGCTCGTCCCAAGTCCCGTCCCGAATGAATGGAACGTTTGTTACGCCTCGACTCGTATCAGTTTCCGGTCTATAAACGGAATGTATTTCGATTTGACGTTGTTACACGGATACAATTTAGATTCGCGTTGAAATATTGGAAGTGAGGGAGGGAGGGAGGGAGGGACGACGACGCCATTAAGTAAGTGGGATTAGGCGGAGAGTTTGGTCTCGACTGATCAAAGTTTACCGAGCTACTACCTCCGGTCACTCCGCTCCCGACCAATTTCAAGATGTTCTCGACCACGCTGTACAACGTTTCCCGTCCCGTCCGCAGGAATAGCAGCCGGTAATGCCGCGTCCGCTTCAATTACATTACGTCGCAGCCGTGTAATTTCGATCGTCGAAAGCGTTTCTCCAACCGTTGCGCTCCTCCTTCTTTTTCCTTCTAACGGCGAGAATGATCTCTCCCCGCGTAACTGATAAACGAATCGATGGAAGAGGCATATATTGGAATATATCGAGAGAGAGAGAAAGAGAGAGGAGAATTTCTTTTATCAACGAATCGAAGTGGAATTGGCGAAGGGACGGATAGGTAAAGCGATCGCCCCCTTTCGATAGGAGTGGCAACTTTATCTTGCGGTTTAGCCGGGTTTCCGGTACAGCTATATCGAAGGCCAACACTACGGATAGGATATCCATTAAGCAGCAACGAAACGCGAGAGAAAGAGAGAGAGAGAGGGAGAGAGTCGGATCCGTGTGATTAAAGTTCACGAAACACGGGACCACCGGCCACTTTACCGATCTCCTCGACCAATCTACCTCGACCACACGTTGGATCCACCCGGTACACGGATTTGCGGGTTCTTTACCGCTTCCTCCTTGCATTAACTCCGCTCTACGTTAAAACGACCATCTGTTCCCTCTCTCTCTCTCTCTCCTCGCTTCGATCGTTATTTCTCCTCCCCCTCCTCCGGAGAAAGATTAGCAAGTCCGATTGCACGAAGGATCGAGTGCTCGTCGTTTTAATTGTGCTGCTTTTCAGTAGCTTGTTAACTAATGCGGATTATTAAAGAAGAAAGAGGGAACATTATTCTCGTTCAGTTTCCAACGAGAGAGAGAGAGAGAGAGAGAGATGGCCGGTCAGACTCGGTTTATTCGTTAACCGGGACGAAACTGAGTTGACGTCGGATGTGTTTCCGATATAGAGCCGTGAAACGCTGTATAGAATGCGCGTCGCACTCTCGGAACCCACTTACCCCGCAACAACTTCTGTTTCCGTTTAGGGACGCATTCGAGCCACGTACAAGACTTTACGCGTATTCGTATAACAAACCGGCGAATTCATTTCCCAGAACGTCCCCGCGACGTTTCCGTTTGCACTCTCTGCGTCAACTCCTTGCTTCGAACTTGAACCGAATGCTCGTGCTATCGCGAAAATTATCGCGTTTAACCGCGGTGACGGATGGGGAGGGATTAGAGAGAAGAGAGAGGTTGAGTTACGCTTTTTTTTTCCTCTCCAGATCCAGAAATCGTGGTCGTGTAAATTTCGCGACCGTTTTGCCGCGAACGAGAGCGGAAATTTTTCACTCTGGGAGCGAAGGTCGAAACGTAATCGCGGCAGGGGCGAGTTTGGTAGGCGCGTTACGTTTGGTTCGTTTCTTCGAGTTGGGGAATAATGGGGAAGGAAGGTGGAACTGGGGTATAAAATAAAATTCAGCAAATTCCCCGTGTCGAGGTATCGCGCCGCGTTGGTCGATCGATGGAGAGCGAGGAGGGGAGGGAGGGGTTGGTTGTTCAAATTTTTAACGAGTCTCGCAGCACCGCGAAATTAATTACTTAACGGCTGGAGTTTTTTCCACGGGTTGGAAATCAAATCCCCGCTCCCACTCCGCTCTCCACCGCGGGCTCGTTCTCCCCCAACTGTTCCCCCGCCCAACTAACTGACGGGGTGTCTTTGTTGTCTCTGATCACGTTGTGTACGAACACTTCGTTAATACGAACACGATACTTTATTGGAAGGTAACAAGTATCGTTGAAACGCGTGAAAACGAGGGTCAAAACGGGTCGAATAAGAAACCCGTCCCGCGTTAATTAACGCGCTCTATTATTTTTTTTTCCGCTCGGATCGAAACGAGAAATCGTTCCTGCCATCGATGATCCCAAAAAGTTGGATCGTTGGAAGTTCGAATAATTCGTACGACGTTAGGGAGCGGGGATGGGGATGGAATCTTAATCCAGATGGCCGATGGTTTAACTAGAGAGAAAGAGAGAGAGAGGGGAGAGAGGAGATTAGAGACTTACAACTCTCGAAAAGTGGTTTCGTATATATACAAGTGATCGTAAGCGGATTAAACACGCATCTACGTGATTTCGATGCGTATTCTATTCTCGCGTCGCTTTAACACACGGATTAATCCGCATTCTATTAATTAGAGATTCGAATCTGCTCGCTCGTGGAACTCGTGAGAAAGAGAAAGAGAGAGTGTCATCTTAAAAGGAACATCTCGATCCGTTTTACGTGTCGTTTGCCGCTTAAGTATCGTACCTTTCGATGGATAAAAGACTCCGCCAATAGGCCGGATTAAAATCCGGTTTTAATTTCAATTGGTTCGAGCTAATTATCCTTCTCTCGACGATCGGCCACCGAATTCCCGCGGTTCGCTACGCGCCTGCGCGAGGCTGTGCGTTTCGAACCGTTCGTGTTTTTCCCCTCGTCGTTCTCCCTCTTTTTCTTTCTTTGCGTCTCGCGATCCGCCACGATAATACGAAAAAAGGAGCAGCGGTGGGTTTTTACGCGCGAATCGAACGAACGCGGAGAAATTTCGAGGCGGGAACAGGCCAATTATCCAAAATGTCCGCAACCATGCGAATTTTTCCGGAAGAATTTTAATTAATTAGCGGATCCGATCCCCCTCCCCTGGTCGAAGCGGTGTGGTACCAAAGGTTCATTAGATCCTTCACCGGCTAGGCTGAAATTCTGTCGACCACAGGGCAAATAGTTGGCCGTTGCTTTATATAAAGCAGACAGCAGCAGTGTATCAAAGAGAGGAGCTACCCGTATGTATTCATTAGGCGGTATTTAGCATAGTTCGAATGAGCAATGGGAGAGAGAGCACGGTCTCGGATTGGCGGGTGGGCGAGACTCGTTGCTTCGAAGAATCGTGAAATTTCTCGATGCATTTTCAGTGTCGGTAACTTGTAAAGCGGATTGTTCCAAGAAGCCCTCGATCATCTAGTAAATACTCGAGGAACTCGAAATAGAAAGGATGTGACGTTACAGTGTCGATTCGTAGAAAATTGTTTCTACGATAAAAATTAACAGTTCTCTGGATCTTTGTTTAATTCGATTAACCGACACGTAGACGACGTGTTGCGTCGGCTCGAAAAACTCTTAGAAAAGATGAAACGAGGATCGACGTTCTTCGACAGATGGTTCGAAGTTTTCGATTCATATCGTAAATAGAAACTCGAAATAGAATGTGATGTTATAGTGTCGATTCGTAGAAAATTGTTTGTTACGAAAATTAACGGTTCTCTGGATCTTTATTTAATTCGATTAACTCACATATCGACGATTTTGCGTTGGCTCGAAAAACTTAAAGAAGATGGAACGACAGATGGTTCGAAGTTTTCGATTCTTATCCGAGGAACTCGAAATAGAAAGGATATGACATTATAGTGTCGATTCGTTGAAAATTATTTTCCACGAAAATTAACAGTTGTCTGGGTCTTTATTTAATTCGATTAACCAATACATTATCGATCTTATTTCGAAAAAATCCTAAAGAAGATGGAACGAAGACGAGGATCGACGTTCTTCGACAGATGGTTCAAAGTTTTCGATTCATATCGTAAATAAAAACTCGAAATAGAATGTAATGTTATAGTGTCGATTC